GACCTTTTAAGATTAAAGATAGAGGCAGCCATAGCATCTGTGAATGATCCAGACAGCCCTATGAGCATCTAAAACAGTCTTATCAATGGACTAGTCAGCAATGAGATTTCATCTTTTCTCCATTTTTTTTTTTAATTCTCATGGTTTAAGTTTCTGAGCAAATCGAATTGGTTTGAATGAATTTCCTCGTCTCTCAGGACTAGGATTAGATTCGATGCCTCTGTGGTAGGATCAGTCGGGAGCTCACAAAATTTAAGCCCACACGTTGTTCGAGTTCTTATTTTCTGTCTTTTTCTACGGATAAAATCAATCGGGAGCTTAAAAAATGAGTTTCATGTTGCTCCGAACATCTTATCTTTCTGTATAACGTAGTTTAGCTTCTGGTTGTGAAATACTCTATTTTAAAGTAATAAATCTCGTTACAGCTCAAATTGTTAAAGATTATTAAACACACTAATAGTATTATTAATGAGGTTGTTAAGATACGTTATACTTCTATGGACAATGCTGAATCCGCGTATTTCTTGGATTAGTACAGTTGATGACAGCATTTTTCATTCCATTAAGATTAAAATCAACCCCCATCAATTATTCAGAGGCCATCTCATATATTCAAAATGGGATTGGTTTGCAGACTATTATGTCCACCCGAGAGTTTACCTAGTGCGCACCCGAAGGGTGGCGACGGAGAGTTCCTCCGTCAAGAAAAAAAAAAGAAAAGAATTTGTTCAGTCACCATCCTCGTTAACTCAGATACTGTCACAGACCAATCACATTTTTTATAAGCAGCCTGCAGATACCACCAGACCAATGATCAAATTAAAATTATTATCAAATTAACATTCATTTTTGGTTCAAACATTTCTATGTTATTTGATATAAAACTCTAGTATATTGTCCTTCAAAACAACAGATAGAAGCACGTAAAAATCTAATTTGTGTTACTGTGTGGGAATTTGGAGAGAGTCGAGCTTCACATTAACAAAAATAAACATGGCACAACAATATAAAATAATGTTAATTTGACATTCACGAAATTTTAAGCAACTGCTCTCATAAACAATAAAATTTTGAGCACCAATATCAAAAGACCTAACCACATACAACAGATTACAGAAAACTCTGTTTCTTTCCATCGCCAATGGGAAGATGCTTTACAGATTAGGATCAGGCATAGATGTTGTGAGGTTGTCAGGAAAATTCTGAACAAAAACTCGGGCCGATGAATTTTCATTGCCTAAAACTACGGTATCCTCCAAGGCCAGATGATCCATAGCCATCATAATGTTGTTCTCTGTATGATGAGGACGAGTAGGAACCACTGCCAAGCTGAGAGTAGGAAGGCCTCAGACTTGAGTCCATGCCAAGCCAAGAGTAGGAAGGCCTTAAACTTGAGTCCATGTTGCTATAAGTTTCGGGAATTGTTTCTCTATGACCACTGGTGAATTCCTGCTTAACAGAAAAGTGTTATCTTTAGATCTCGTTGAAGTTCACATTTCAATCTTAGAAGTAACAATTGGGTATTGAGCCGTCTGGTCCAGCTAAGAATCATATTTTTAGTAAATTTTCATAAAAACTGATCAAATGTATAGTTGAAAAGTTGATAGAAGTTGTGAGTTCGTGAAAAGTGATTGAAAATGAATTTTGGAAGTGGCCTAATCTTGGTATTATAAGTACCCAAAAAAAAAAAAAAAAAAAAAAAAAAAAAAAAAAAAAGAAGAAGAAGAAGAAGAAAGGGAAATGGTGCAGAAAAATAAGGATGAAAAGAAGTTTGTACCTGAATTAGCTGCTGTGCAGTTTGAACTTGTGAAGAGGTACCTTTTATCTCCACAGTGATTTCATCATGTAGGCCCCTGCTTTCTTGCACAGTGAGGATGGCACCACTAGTGCGTCGAATGTAATCAATATTTGCTCCTTGAACCCCAATAATATCCTCTGCATAAGCAAGTGGTATTTGCATTGTCTGAGCTATCTACACACAAGAATTAATATCATATGTTAACTCCAAAAACCCAGCATCCATCAGGTCTCTCATAAGGTAGAGATGTTGGGTTTGAATCTCGAGAAACACGATAGAGAGTCGTGACAGGTAAGATAGACACGAACTCTCTCAAAGCGGACAATACGTCTGAGCATTTCATAATTTGAAGCCTAATATTCAACACCACAACATAGATTTTTAGTACTTATTACACCAGACCTATGAAAGTGGGTTGCAGAAGTTCTATTTAATAAATCTTTGGAGGATTCCAACAATTAATGGCTTCTTGGGTACTATTGAAAATAAATTATCCGACTCCTTTGCCTACACTTTCATAGCCTTTCCTATTTACTAAAAGTCTACAGTGACATAAAATTATAAATGTCAATCCACCATAAGAACCAAGAAAATGAAACACATGGAATAGTTGGGTATTCGCAATGCTTCTGAAGTACAGTATAGTAACTCTGGACAAAAAACAAATAGCTGCAAATCGAGTAACCTAATAATCTAGATAGGCTATGTAAAATTGAGCACAAAGGAGTCTTAACTATAAACATATAAATTACAGTAGAACTTTAAAACTTCAAACTAAGTCTGGCCAACAGCTACTGACTTTGTTTTTTTTTTGGGGGGG